ATTATTATCACATGCTTCACCAAATGCATCTCTAGTTCTTCAAGTCGATGCATCTGACTACACTATTAGCGGATCTCTAAATCAAGTTACTAAACAAGGACTCGAACCCCTATAATTTTTTTCTAGAAAGCTGACAACCACTGAGGCAAAATACAGTGTCTGTGATATAGAATTATTAACAATATACTCATCCATTTGCAAATTTAAATACATGCTAGAGGGACTCAAATTTACATTATTTACTGACCACAAACCATTAATATTTGCTTGCAAACAAAAACTTGAAAAATGCTCTCCACGTCAAATTTGTCAACTAGATTTTATTTCTTAGTTCACAACTGATATTCATTACATTAACAGAACATAATATTGTTGCTGACACATTATCTCGCTTTCATGAAATTAGAATTACTTGTCCTATTGATTATGAAGAAACTGCTCAAGCACTATCAAGAGATAATGAGTTGAAAGAAATACTTAACACTAACAATTCTTTACAAATGAAAAAAAGTTAAACTCCTAAATTCAGAAATAGAATTTCATTGTGATATATCTACTGGCGTAGCAAGATGTAGTAATCCCAAGGCATTTCGAAAATTGTGTTTTAATTGCATACATAATTTAGCTTATCCAGCCAATTGTACGACATCAAAATTAGTTCGTAGCCAGTATGTGTTGCCAAATATCAACAAGGATGTCGTGAACTGGGCAAGACAGTGTATTTTGTACCAGAAATCTAAAATATACAAACACGCTTCAGCCCTTTCACAATCATTTATTGAAACTTCTATGCAATTTCAACATATTCACACTCGAATCACAAAGAACAGCAAAATGAGGAAGGTAGTATGCATTTGTTTTCGTAGACTCAGATTGTGGAATCAGTTCTATATGTCCTAATGATAGATATTCATGCATAAAGTCTTTATGTTGTTCATATTTTTTACTATTGGAAGATGAGGAATTCTCCAAGTATTTCAATCTTCGAAGGGCAGCTGTCTTGCATTCACCAAATTGAAAAGGTGAGGTGTGAAAGGGCAACCTCTCGACATATCTTTCATCAGTATCTCTAGAATGCATAGATTTAAAGTGCTCTTCACAAGCTTTTTCATCATGACTCAAGGAGTTTATGGCAAATACCTTATCTAGTTCCCAAAATTTATTTAACAATTTATCACTGACTAATTGAACATGTTATTACCCTAAACAATTGAAACTCGCATGTTATTAACCTAAACAATTGAATTTTTCTCATATGAGGGAGTCCTGCTTGCAATTAAGCCATCCTAATTGAGACCAAACACTAAATTGTAGCTCAGTGAGATGGAGAAACATTGGGTTACTTAAACCAACTGGATTACATATGGCAAAAGCAGTTTTTATTCACAAAGCCTTTTAAAAGTGTGTTCATGTGTGTTTTTGCAACGTGATGCAGTATGACAGCCCTTTTAAAGTTCTCAAGCATCGTGAAAAAGTGTTCAAATTATCTGTTCATTGAAAAATTGTTTTAGTCTCAATTGACCAGGTCAAACCAGCATTTCTGTTGAATACCAACATGGATACTTACCCTTCTGACTCTTTGAAACCTAGATCTGCCCATCATACTCGTTCAGGCAGACATGTGCATTTCCCTGATTTATATATCATCACAATGATACTAGAGGAGGAGTATGCAGCAAACCACACAAAGATGAGAAAATTATATGTGTGGTCCCTGCAAGTCACTGTTTCCAACCTTTTAAAACATCTCAAGATATGGTTCTGACATTGCAGATGCAATAATTCATTCCAGTTGGCAGTACAAGAGACATAACTTCATGACCAGTGTCAAGAGATTTTAATGTTCTGCACTCTGTCTTCAAAGCCTCTTGATTTCAAGAGGGCTAACGAATCAGTGATCTTGTTTTTCCTCTGATACCGTTCCAGATATAACGAATGAGAGGATGTAAAATACTACTGAAAAATTAAGGAGGTGTAGGTAATTCAGTCTTAAAATTTTTTCCATTGGAACAACATATCAGAATGCTCCTGAACTCTCGACTAGTAAGACCCAGAATGCTCTTGAACTCTCAACTAGAGAGACCCTCATTAGCAGATTCCTCACATCACGAGCACTATTAATTCACTTCAATAACTATTCTATGCTATCCATGAGTTATATATATTTCTAGAGTTTCTCATAATTGTAATGAGTATGTTTTGAGTTGAAAAATGCAGTACGTATTGCATAACCTCACAAAATGCACCAATCATTATACGGAGTCATATGCGCTACCTGCTGCCAGTCACCACATATTCATGTGTACCATTCTCTTCTGGGTTGTAAGTATTTGCACATTTCATCATTAACTTCCAGCTGAGAACCATTCAAATTGCCTGTTACAAAATGTACCACTGCTATTGGTGCATATACCAATTAAATTTCTATTGGTCAGATTATTCCTTTTGCTCATAATAGCTTTTAAAGTCACTGAACAATTCATTTTTATTTTTCATACAATAATAGTTATTAATCTGTTATAGTTATCTACGAGAGCAGGGAAATTTTTACTCCCATCTCTTAATGGACTGTGAGTAGACCACAAATATCTAAATAGAATAACTGCAATTGTTTATTAGATCTCTAGAATCGATTTAAAAGATATTCTATTAGATTTGACAATAATGCATTCACAGTTCTGCTGTTGTTTTTTATTTCAGGCAACACTTTTAATGCTTTGATTTTTACTATTGTTCCGAATGTAATTAAAATTTACGTGGAAAATATCTTCTGTGCCATAACTTCACATTGTGTTCTTTATTTAATTTCCCAGTCTATGTACTTGAAACCATCATCCTTTTTTACTTCCTTGTATGAAGTAATGTAATCATGAAAAATTATGCGCATCATATTTCAACGGCTCTCGAAAACATTTGAATGATGTCTTGCATGACATCTGTGTGTATGGATAGAATAAAGGACTGTTTTTCCCAAAAAAGAATTGTAAAATGGATTCAGAAGAGATTTATTCTTGACGTCTATATGTATATATGTATCTCCCATAAGTTAAGAATGAATAGCCATAGAACATTGAAATTTTGTATACGGGACTGCTCTAACATGTAGTTGTGCACCTCTCTTTTTCGTTGCAGGCTGCTGCATCATTCATATTATGAATATATATATTCCCACTCTGTTACCTGGCTGGGTGTTATATCTTGGTAAATTGTGCATTTTTTGCTTTAAAAACGATTTCATTATGTGTTTTTATGTTCTGGTTAAGGTTTTTATACCTTTAGATAATCTGCATGTAATTGTTGTAGAATTATCAACAATGTAAATGGAGTAACCCTAACGAATCACTATTTGTTTGCATTTGAGACTTAGTTGAATCGTGAATTAAGTCAGTTACTGCATCTTCAATGTCTTTTTGACAAGTGGGACCAAAATTAAACTTTTAGTTTTGTCACTGAAAAATCTGCCTTCTTGCCCACTGGCCAAATTTCTAGTTTTTGCAAAGGAACTTTAATTTTAATTGTAAAAATTGCTTTTTTAACTGTATTTGGTGTTTTTTAACTGTATCTGATATTTTTCTGCATTTTACAATTTTTAATGAAGATGAGATTTTAATGAAGATTTAAGTTTCTATGTATTTTTGCTTTGCCACAATGTGAGAACTAAATTAACTGAATGAGAAAATATACCTCTAATGAAATTCGATGAAATAAGTTTAAATGAAATGCAGCAAAAAATGTGTATAATTTAATAGGCCATACAGAGAAGTCATGTGGTGTTCACATCAGATTTTTTTTCTGTTACCTACTTAGGTGTTTTACATGATAGAGACCATCATATCCTGTTACATAATTTAACCCCATTATTGAAATATATCCAATCTACAATCCTTATTGAACCTACAAACTAGCCACCTGCCTTTACTAACCTTGCTCCTGATAGTAATTTTTTTCTTAGATTTAAATTAGAGAATATATTTTCTAATTCAGTCCAATTTATTTGATTCCCTGCTTTTACTGCAAATTTGATGGAACTTTAATCTTAAATTTGATGGAACTCTTAATGCTTTACTTTCAAAATTTTCTACAGCTAGGGACATATATTATTATTTATTTTTTCAAAATTTGTTATTAAATTTCCAGTATTGGAGAAGTGAGTTACTTTTAGATCTACAACCCAATTGAATTTATCCATTTCATCTATTGTATTTGTAGCTGACACATAATATTCTAATAACAGTAATTTTATCTATATATGATAAGTATATGTATATATTTTATGACAAGTATATGCCCAAAATTATGTATACATCAAAATAAAACTTTTATTGTAATATTATAAAATTTTAAATAAACATGGTCCCACTGAGGGAGCAATAAAGCTGAAAGTCTTCGTGGTGGCACAACTGCTCACCCAGTGGTCTTCTATAAACTGTACCCTTTGATCATCTATTTTGAACTTCTAATTTTATTCATATTGTGCGGTTAAGTGTTCAGGTTTATGACATCAATAACAAGGTCCTATTTTTGTAGTCCCTTCCCCCCCAAAAAAAATTTTACTTTACTTTTAGTTCTATTTTTTCCTGCATTTCCGCTAATAGTATTAAATACTCTTTAAGGATTTTGTTAATTTTATTAACAGTTAAATTTTGAGTTAAACTTCCTTTCCTATCACTTAGTTTCAACTTACCACTTCCATCCAGAATGTAGTTTTTGAATCACGTTTGAATGCAAATTAAGGAAGAGTGGTATTTAACCGCAAAGTTCTACTGTCTTAGTCAGAGAGAACCAGAGATTTTGACTTCTTTAATATTGTGATAGAATGTAGTTTTCCCACTAATCTGTGACTTGAAAGTAATCCAAATGATTTTTCTCAATTTTAAAAAATCACATGCTTAAAAATTAAATACCTTTTTTGTTGTGATAGTTATCCTTTACTAAACCAAGTAAATTGTTTATAGATTTTTTTTGTATATTTTTTATGTATTATTTTTGTTTGCTTACAGTATGATCATCTAGAATTTCCTGGTGTTGTGCCTCGTACATTTATTGGACCATTAACAGTTGCAGCTTTATCTTATCCTTTCTTATATATAAATTTGATTTTAGACATGGGAAAAATTTTCATGCAGTATACAGGTAGGCATTTTATAAGTTTCTCATTCATTTTTCTAATATTATGATCAAATTTGTTATATAGGGCTATTCAGAAAGTAAGGAACATTTCCGTGTGATGTTGCTAAGCGCGTGCCGATCACGTATATTTTGGTATCTGCATGCTCAGCATCTCAGTCGGTGTCCAGCCATCACAAGGAGAACATTTTCACACTGCCCGTTTTTTCAATACTCAAATTTAAAATGTGCGCTGCAATTGAAAATCCTGCTAGTTAAGAGGTGTGGTCTGTGATACGTTTTTTGTTGACAAAAAAAAACCTAAAACCTATGGAAATTTATCGGCAAGTGTATGGAAACAATGTAATGAATGAAAGTTCAATATGGAAATGGTGCATTCAGTTTAAAAATGGTCGAACTAACATTCACAATGAAGAGAAGAGTGGATGCCTTAGCATTGTGACTGACGAACTGCTCGCTAAAGTTGATGAAAAGATTTGTGAAAACTGCTGTTTCGCAATAACGGAGCTTTCGCTTAGTTTTCCACAAGTTTCACAACAGACTTTGTTGTTTGAAATTGTCAGACAAAAGCTAGGCTACCGCAAATTTTGTGCAAGATGGGTGCCAAAATTGCTTACAGATCACCATAAAGGTCAGTGAATGGGGGCAGCTTTGACATTTCTGGAGGCCTACGACAGACATGGTGATTTATTACTGGATTGAATCGTAATTGGTGACGAGACGTGGCTGAGACACGTGAATTGTGAGACAAAATTACAGTCCATGCAGTGGGGGCACACAAGTTCCCCTAAAAGACCAAGAAAATGTTTTCAAACCTTGTCGCCAAAGAGGATTATGGTGACTGTGTTTTGGGATGGGCAAGATGTGCTTCTGATTGATTTTCTCGAAAGTGGTGCCACAATAAACTCTGAGCGGCACTGTCAAACTTTGGGCAACCTTAGGAAGGCAGTTCAAAACAAGTGCCGAGGAAAGTTGACGTTTTGTTTTTTGAACGACAATGCCTAACCTTACACGGCAAACCGCACTCAAAAACTTCTTAATTCATTCAAATGGAAGTTTTCCCTCATCTGCCAAATAGACCCAATTTTGCACCTGGTGATTTTCACTTGTTTCCAAGAATGAAGAACTGGCTAGCAACACAGTGCTTTGACGATAACAAAGAGCTGCGGGTGCGCGTCACTGAGTGGCTGAGATCACAGATGGCAGAATTCTATGATGAAGAAATTTCAAAGCTTTTCCACCGCTATGATAAGTGTCTCATATTGTTTGGTGACTATGTAGAAAAGCAGAATTTTAGTCGCTCTTTCTGATGTATATACAGTACAAAGTATCTAATCCGAACTCGTCAGGACTTCGGCGATTCCGGATTAGGGATTTTTCCAGATTATAGGTCATCAATTTAAATCTGGTAAGAGGGCACTCAGAAATTATAAAATTAAAAATATGAAACCGTAACTTATGAAATAAAGAGCAATTATGATCTAAAGGATATCAAAATTTACAAAAAAAAAAAGAGCTTAATATTTATTTGTTTAATTTATTAAACATTTCTTTCAATGTAAGTTGTTTAAGTTGCTTCATTTTATGTGCTAATACTTTCTCTTTAATTCTATAAAAGACATAATTTCTTGTTCAGTTACAAAGTTCCTCTGTTCAAGTCCTGTAATTGCTGTGCCGAGAATACCAACTAACTTGTCAATCAAAATTTTTTCATTTTCACTAACCTCTCTGTCACTTTCTTCATGCCTTTATCCATTTGTTGCAGGAATTCCACTTTATGTTTGATGGGCATCGAAACATGCTTTCGCTTTGTAGTTCTCTTGGCAGCTCCAGAATCGGAAACTCTTTTTGACATAATCGAAAGTTCAAGCTTACTTTTTATAAAATTGCTCTAACAGTCTGCAAAAAATAATAAGCCAGATCCAATTAGAAGATTAAGGAACAACGCAATCTGCAACATTAACTGAAATAGGTAATTAGATAATTTTAACCTGGCTTATACTGCCTGTTATACATTAAACGTGTATGCGTAAACGTATTATGCGCATGCGCAGAAAGTTTGTAGCTTTGAGGTCCGAATTATAGATCATTCTGGATTATGGACGTCCGGATTTAAGACTTTGTACTGTAATATTTTTTTTTCTTGTACTTAGTTTCTTTTTAATTCGAAAACATTCCTTACTTTCTGAATAGCCTACGTATTTCTGTATTTGTATTACAAAATGAAAATTTTGCAATATTTTTCATGAAAACAGTTATCAGTGCAAAGTATTAAAACTTTTACATGTTTTTAAACTAAAATTTTACTTTGAGAATTGCCTTTAATAATGCTGATTTTATTAACCCTATGAGGGGTGTGGCTGTTTGGATCTCCTTATGAAGACCTCCATTTAAACAGCATTAGCTAACTTCTATCATAGGTGACATAATAGCTAGAGTGGCAGTATTCGGAACTTTTCACCCGAATTTTTCAGAAGAGCAGTAAAGTTCCAGTGATGTGACCAGGGATAAAATGCATACTGTTTCACTAATCATGTTGCTAAAAAAGTGATTTTTGAACATTGAAATCTGTAAATAAATCTGATTTTCTGAAGATTTGGAAAAGTTCTTGGTTTATTATATGAAGCAACTTAAAGCATTGTGATGTAGTCTCAATATTTGACTGTTCAGAACCATTAGAATTCAATGAATAAATATATGTGTGACTATGAAAATTCCAATTAAATTCAAGTATATGTGTAAAAAGCATATTTTACGAAAGAAGCATTTATGAATATTTTATCTACTGGCAATACATACAGATGCAGAAGCCTGAGCTCTACTCTAAAGATATCTATAAAAAGTAGGGTATTTGTACAACCTTTATGCATGTAATATAAAATTATCCGATGGAGTAATTTATGAAATTTTGAGAGCTGGGGAATTTTTCTTTGAAAAGTAGTCATAGATGTTCCAGTCAATTATTTTATATTTCATTCATTCACCTAAAATATAATTAAAGGAATGAATAAATATAATTAAATAGGTACAACCAGCACATCTATCTCCCACCCCCTCTTTTTTTTTTTTTTTTTTTTTAGTTTCACAGCTACAGATTATATATTCACCAGATAGGAAGTTGGACACGGAAGAGAGAAATTTATGGATTAAAAATTAAATTAAAGGCTTCTGGAATTTTCCCTACAGGGCACAAATATAAAATTATTAGTTGTTGGTGATGTAAGTTTACATGTGATTGAAGGAGATTATTGCAATGTTGTATTGCTATTACATCATCACCAAAAATTTCCTATTAGAAAGTTTAAGCAAGTCAAGAAAAAGTATACAGCAGTCTGAAATATTTAATTTAGGCTCCCATTTAAAGATGATACCTGAAAGATATATAAAAATATAAAAGCATGTTGTATAGAAAAACATGTAAAAGTAATTTCTTAATTTTAAAAAAAAACGTTCATATGGATTTTTCAGATTGTGTCTTACATATGCCCATATCCATGCATATAAAGTATAAAAAAACACATGTTCAATTTTTGAGAACTAGTGATTATGTACATCTTGCACAAAAAAGAAGGTGGGGACGGTTCTACATCTCGCATTCTACCGGACTGATTGTCGAAATTTAACTTGCGTTTTCCATGTCTCGAAAGCGCAACTTAGGATATATATTAGATTTATATATAGCATTGTTCTAACATAGGTATTTCATACCATATACCTTAAGTTCTAACATAAATCAAATGATATACTATATATTGGGTTTCTTTAAGAATTATAATTCTCCTCCTTACTTTCAGTGGTCACCAAAATTTGTTAAAAATATTTTTTTTTTTTTTTTTTATATTTGTAGTTGCAATGGTATGAGATAAAATATTGATATTCTGTTAATCAGGAATGGAAAGGTTGGTTGATAACTGTTTTTAGAACTATAAGGAACAAATGATAAGAATGTTAGAATGCAATTTCTGTAATTATAATGCATAAGTTTAGTTTTTCTCCAATCTAGCGCAGAAGGTCTTCCTGATAGAAAGGCCACAGATTCTCATCTATTACTAGCGTAATATATAGGATAGACCGACTTGATTATGGCCATATATATATATCTTGAGAGATATCTGATGATGTATCACACTGTAACAAATGCTAGAAATGGTAACCTTCTACCGTTAGATATTTGATAACTCTGTGCTGCATTTCTTTTAACTGAGTGTGGTTGATGTTTTAAATTGTATAGCTGAGGTTCAGTTGATGAAGAGTAGTTTATTGAAATGGATAATTATTTTAATATGGCCTGTAAGAAGTATGGAATATGGAAATTTGGTCACCTCAATGGCTATACATCTTTGGAGATGATGTTATATTCAAAGAAGCTGATTACAAAAATGGTATTGGGGGGGGGATGTGACAGATCACACATTTTATTGAGAGTAACCATACTGTAATTTGTTGTGACTTGATTCATTTTAAAATGTGCGTATGATATTGCACATGATCTGTCCTCTTTGAAGAATATGATCCTTTTCAACTGCTGCATTATTAAAACATTATTTGATATCCAGACATGCAACATTAATAGACCTGATATTTAATAGGATTTGAGGGGATCCACATTCTGCATGATCAGTTCATATTTACCATAACAATTCTATGGGTGAAATACCCTGTGTAATCACACTACATTTTAAAATGGAAACTAATCAATTTTTTTAAAAAAATGCTTCTGTACTAAAATTAAATTGAAAAAGTAGCTGAACTTGATACTCATAAAAAGCATAGATTTAATAAGCATTAAAATAATGATTACAATAATAACATTAATAAAAATTGAATAAAAACATTTAAAATAATGGTTTTTAAAAGTTCATTAACAATAGGAAAATATTTCATTTTTAATATCTAGAAATAGACATTAATTGATGCATTTTTGCTGTAGTTATTTTTCATGCTGCATTTCTTGTAGTATATTCTTTATTGACAATATATTATTAAAATTTCTTTCAGTTCGAATAATGTTGGGGACTTTAGTATTGGCAGCATTTCACAAGTTTAAAGAAGCCATAGCTAAACAATATGGTTCAATGGTATCTCTTTGGTTACAAATAATAACAGCTTCTCAGTTCCATGTAATGTTCTACATGTCCAGGCCATTACCAAATACTTTTGCTTTGGTCCTAGGTAATTTATGGTTGTACTAAAATTAATATTTTGCAGTTTGTTCTGATATGTAAATAACTTTTAATGAGAAAAAGTTTTTTTTTAAGGGTAGTAAGTATGAATATAATAGAAAGCAAATAAAAGGAAGCTTGTTTAGTTATTTTTGTTAACTGTAAAACATGAGGTCTGGTATGAAAGAGAAACATGCCATATAAAATTCAAAATGATCCAAAAATCAAACTTTTGTTGATAGTAATTTTAAAGAAAAGCTTTTGCATTTTGAAGAAGAGTGGCATTTTCTCTTCTTCAAGTTGCAAAAGTATTATGTAGCATAACCTAGAACTACAACATTTAATCATCCTGCCTGTATATGAAGTTAATTTAATTTTCATGAGTTCTTCCTGATATCTTGCTCAGATATTAATGCAAAATCAATTTATCAAATAAATGTATTATTTTTCTTACACTTAAGAAAACTTCATAGTGTCCCCAATGCAGTAAATCCTTTCCAGATGTGGACTCATAGAATGAAATTTTGAGTATACACTTTATTTCCACTTACTTTTTGTCCAACATGAGAATTTCAGTTATATGCATTGTGCTACTGAATGTTAGCTGTGTTCCAATTGTCCTCTTTAATAACTGGTTTAAAAGTTCAGTCGTTAAAGTCCAACATTATGTAGTAAAGGAAAGCCTGAGATTTAAAGTTTTCCTAATGCTCTGGACACAGTACTGAAGCCCTCGCAACATTGCATCTACATGTAAAGGTTTTACTCCTTCCATTGAACACCCCTTCTTTATTCCAACCAATGAATCATGGAAACATAAAGACATTCAAAGCCTATTATGTTAGGCACAATCATGTTTACATCTTTGCAAATAAAACACTAGAGAAAGGAAAGCATGACACATTAAAGGCATTTTGGAAGCAGTTCAACACAAGAAATTGCATAGAAATGTTTAAACTCACGTTGGAACAATTGAATTCATCAGCAGTGAATGTTTGCTGGCGTCAGAGCTGGCCAGAAGGTGTCAACGATGTTAAAGGATTGATGGAAAATCAATTTAAAACTAAGCAAAGGAAATTGCAAAAGGTGGGAAAGGATTTTCAGAGATGGAAGAAGAAGAAATAATAGAATTAGTTGAGAATGATGATTATAAAATGAAAATGAAGAATTGGATGATCTTACCACATTCAAAGCAGCAATATTAAGAAAATAATGAAAAAGTCTTATTATATATAAGAAATTAAACAAATTACTATAAAAGGCATAGAAACTGTCAGATTTTGCATTAGAAATTGACCCAAATGAAGTAAGAAAAGAACACTTTGTGAGAGGTATTTGAAAAAGGACTCCTTAATGTGCAACACTTAATGACTAGTGCCATACATTGTCCAAGCAAAAATTACCAGCTATTAAAAAAGTAATTGTATCATGCACCTACTTATTATACAGTAGTATAAATTATGTCAGTTAACATTTGTTTAATTAACTGAACTATATGTAACCTGTTTCCTCCATAAAAAGTTAACGTTGTGGAACAATATTTTGTTATGTGCACAGTGTGTCAGTGATTTAATTCCTGCATTCAGCAAGGATTTGCTGTTTAAAATATTGCATATATACATATACGTACTGTGGTTGTGTGGGCTCTAGAAACATCTATATAACTTCTTTATATTGGGATAACACATTTAATCACATTAATGTATATGCATTTTTACAAAATACAACAAACTCAATTCACTTTAACATAATCATCTTTCGTTGAATGCATCTTACATCTAGCTGCCAACTGAAAATATTAGAGTGAATTTTATGATGAGCATTCAACAATAGCACCACATTCTTTTGGTCCTCCAGCCAACGCTGTAAATACAAAATCAAAACAGAAAAGATAATAAAAATAAAATTAGTGTGTGTCTCTAAAGTGTTTTTAGAGTCCTTATCGTCTTTCAGCTTCAAGAATGACAAAATTAGCAAACATCGTCTTCAAGTTTCTTTTGCCATAAAAACAGTAGTTAATGTCTTTAATCTCTTCGTCTTTAGGCATCTTTTCATTTTTCTTTAGGCGTCTTTCTTTTCATCGTCAAACGTCTTTCCTTTCATCATTAAGTGTCTTTCCTTTTGTCTTTATTCAGAAAATGTGTAATTTACTTCTTTTTCTACTTTAATTTTCTTCAAATTTCTTTTCCCCATAGTACTGTTAGCAATTACTCCACAGTTTTAGAAATTCAGTGCACGTCATCGTATAGCTTCCTTCTTTCACTATGTTATCGTATAGCTTTCTTCTTTCACTACGTCATAAGTGTTCCCTCCTGTAGTTATTCTGTACAGTCTTAGATACTTTGGTTTTAATTTCAAATGAAGACTAAACTGTGTTCTTTTTATAGCTACCAAATCTTTGACAGTGTAAGGCCTTGGTTCTCTTCTTAAATTATGCGTCTTCTTGGTTTCTTCTTGAATTTTAAATATCTGTTGCTTCGCAGGTTTTCGAAGTTCATCTCTTTTAGCTTCAAAATTTGTGTGAAATTCTGTTTCAATCATTTCAATCAACTTTGTCAGTACCTTTAGCATTCATCTTTGTGCCAAAGAGCAGCTCAAAGGGTGTGATATCTATACTTCACTGGTATGTCGAGTTAATAGCCTGCTGCAGTTCATTTGTATGTTTGTACCTCTGAGTCATATTTTCTAAAGATAACTTTGAAAGAACTGATATGATGGACTGGTTGATATGTTCAGTTTGACCTGACCATTGGCGGCTCTGGCCAGCCTGGTTACTATCAAATGGTGCTTAATGTTCTCTTTAGAATAGTAACCGGCACCTTCTCTGGATGTGTATGCTGTACCTGTGTCCTAGATTATTTTGGGAAGGACTGCCAAATAGAGCCTTTTGTATCATCAACATTGCTATTATTTCAGCAGATATATTGGGACTTTATATAGCATTGTTCTAATGTAGGTATTTTGACACAAAATCAGACTTTTTCTGAAATGACATGCCATTTTTTTCATCCATATTTCGATTCTACAACTCAAATTGTGCCTAAATATTAAATTTTGTAAAATGTGGAGTAAAATTTAGGAGAAATTTAAAAATTTATCTTGCCACATTTTTTTCAGTTTGTGCCAAGATTAATTTATATCGTGATATTCTTAATATATGGCAACCTATTTTCCTTTCCCTTTTTACATTGTGCATGAGTAGACAAAAAGTCACTTCGTTCCTATTTTCAAATAATTTTAACAAAGTGCCTAAACCACATTTGATGTTATTATCGCTTTCAACAAATATGCGAAATTTCAAAATGCGCCAATATATAAATTCATGTATATCTTCAGAAATTTTGAATAAAAGAAAAAAAAAATTGCAGGTATGCTTAAAAATACATCTACTTTAAGATAATGGTAAAAATTTTATACATTATAATTAAATTTTTTTTCTAAAAATTATTTTAAAATACAAATTTTAAAAAAAAATTATAAAAAATGGGCGAATTTTATTTGGAAAGAACCTAAATTTCGAAATGTGAAAGGAAGAATCAAATAAGTTTAATAAAAAAGTGAAATTAATAAATATATACCAAATTCAATTAACATTGAGGATCTAAAATTATGAGAGTTAATTTTTTAAAAACTACTCTTGTGATCTTTACAAAACTTGGCAGTTTGCCATAATTTGAATCATAGAATCGAAGTATGGAAAAAAAATTGGCATGTCATTTAAGAAAAAGTCCAATTTTGTGTCAAAATACTTATATTAAAGCAATGCTATATATAAATCTAATATATATCTTAAGTCACGCTTTTGAGGCATGAAAAACACAATTTGAATTTCATCAATTGGCCCAGTAGAACAGGAGATATAGAACTGCCCTCCTTTTCTTTGCACAGTGTACTTATAATTTTATTTGTACTCTCCAAAGGCCAGGGGGGGGATCTAAATGATATGGTTTCAACAGCACATCTTCTTTGTGCAATGGTTGTAAGAAACCTTCTTTCTTTCCTCTGTTATAATTCAAAGAATACAGTGAATGCAATTTTCTACTTTCTGTCTGAGTTTGGGGATAAAATAATACTCTTCAGTGCTTTTTTCAGTATATTTGACTCCTGAATGTGGTTTCTCATAGGCTCTTTTTATGACTTTTCTTTGCTTATTTTCAGGCACACCCACTAATTCTTTACTATCAACAAATTTAAACAAAATTCCATTTCTGTCGCAATAATCTTTGAACTAGAAATTTTAATTAATTTCTTTAATCATTTTTATTTTATTATGCTTATCCTGGGCTGATTTCAACTTTGGTACTGAAGCTAAAAAAATATTAATGGGAGATCTACCTAAAGCATCAATATGAGCCATTCTAGTACCAGAACAATGCTCAATCACATAATTAAATTCCTGTGGTAATAAAGTCCAACGAGCAATGTGAAATTGTAAGTCACGTTTTGACATAATCTTCCAAACTCAGAACAGTCAGTCACAGTTTTTGAAAGGAATTCTTAATAGGTACACACGGAATTTTGTAATGCTTTTTTGATTGCAAGAGCTTCAAGTTCGTAACTAGAGTATTTCTTTTCAGCGGCTGTGGTCTTCTTACTTATAAAATAGGTAGGGTGGAAACTATTATCATTTGGGAGACTTCTGCATTAAAATTGCTTCATATCCCTCATAGCATCAGTATGCAATTCAGTCTCATTCAGTCAATTGGGATTATAGATTCCTAAGATAGGCTCTTCAGCTAATAATGACTTTAATTGATTGAAAGAATATCTTTCTTCCTTATAAAATTTAAACTTTCGGTGTTTTTTCAAGAGATTGCTCATGGGTTTAGCAATAATGGAATATTTTGGGATAAACTTCCTGAAATATCTGATTAGTCCAAGAAAACTATGAATTTATTTCAAATTAGTTGGTTCCTGAAAATTAAAGACCGCTTTCATTTTTAAAGTGGATGGAAAAATTTTACCTTCTTCGACAACGTGGCGCAAGAATTTGATTTGCTTCTTCAAAAAATT